AATAATTAATATTTGTAATTATTTAACCAACTAATATTTCTGAGGGTGGATGAAACTTATTTCAATATGTATTCATCAACCATGATGACTCCTTTTTTAGGCCAAAGGCACTACACCTCTAGCACCACCACCAAAGCCTATCCGCAGAAGGCCAAAATCCGAAGATGAGCTGAGACCTGAAGTTGAGGAACCTGCGCAGAAAGCAGGTGTCATAGCTGCTGTTCTTGCTTCTCAGCCATCTATTCCTAGGTAACTCAAGATGTGTATGAGTAACTCTAATACTGAGATATTTTCACTTTAAATAAGAAATAGTTTTATTAAAAAGGCAATTTAATGGTCTGTGATGCTTGAATTGCTAAGGAAGGCAGTAAAAACAAGCTTTAATCTGCCAAAATTGAGGCTATGGGGAAAATTGCTACAAAATATTTTGCAAGCTACTTTTTCCAAGTGCCTATTTATTAAAATTACATAAAATATCTATGTATTCTATATAAAGATGGAATGAAATGGCTTGTGTAAACTTACAAATGCACATAGAACCTTCCTTCATCTTGTGGCGCTTTTTTTTTTATATGATTGAGAAAATGCAACTAACTAACATTGGGATAACTTTTTCCATTTGTTCTAAACTAAAATTGAATTCTAAGGTGTGTCCAAGGGGGAAGGCTGAAGATCGAGAACTTTGGTATTCTAAGTTACAGTGGTCAAAGGTGCAGGACAATGTTTTTTTGATTTTGTAAACTGCTTCCCCGCCCCCCCAAAAAACTTGTGATTTTGGGGGGTTCTGGGCAAACCACAAAATATGACAATGCATTGGGGAATGCATTGTCCCCATGTATGGTAACCTATGTTTACACAGACAATCATATAAACTGCTGCTGTTTAAACATGTTCAGTGATTTTAAAGCTTTTAAAGCTATAAAGTTGTGAAGAATAAAGTAATGAAATGTGTAGATAGCAGCTTTGTTGTTTCAAACACTAAAAAAGCCATTGTATATAAACAGGGAGCAGAACCCACACTCACTGACATTGATGTTGTTACCTAGATGGGTAATAAAACATTTGCAAGCAAATAAATTAAGAGAGCAGTAAGGATTCCACAGTTCCTGAGCTACAGATATTCTGTCCTGTTGGAACTTGATTTGAGTTGTTCAACATGGGGTCTCTTCATAGAAAAAAGAGTCTTAGAAAGTGCCAGTAAAAGCATATAAGCTTTAAATACTTTTAAATAGTAGCTCTGTAATCTGAGAAAATAGAATCCCAAAATTATAAAAGGCATTTTTCTTTACAACTGTTCAATTAAACATATTGCAGAGCTAAGGAATTTAACAATATTGTGTTCAGAACAATTGAGCTTTTGGGGGGAGGGGAAGTGTTCCACAATTCCTGAAAGTTGTGTCATAAAATGTCCCCTCAGATCGGTGGGAAAGGACAAGAAAGCTATTCAGGCATCAATTAGACGCAATAAGGAGACCAACACTGTTTTGGCCAGACTGAACAGTGAATTGCAGCAACAATTAAAGGTAAGGTAACTGACAAGTTGTTATGAGATGTGAATCTCATGAGATTATGAATACATTGTGCTTTCCGTTTAGCAAACTTGTAAAGAAAAGCCCGGGATCCATAGCTCATGCTTTCAGTTTGCATGTTCTCTTGGAGATCAGCTACTTTCTTCATATAGTTTAAGTGAGCTGTATTCTGCAGAATAATACCAAGGGCTTCAGAACATGTTGGAAAACTCCATGAGATTAGGCGGGAGAAGGAAAAAGAGTCATTCAGTTTGACATAAGTATCCTATGTATGAATGAGGAGGAGATGTTGACAAATCTATTCTCGAACATTTCACTGAAACAGTTGGTAGAACAATCATCCTTAGAAGATTTTGACTGCAGATTCACAGAGAATATAAGTGTTTAATTCTTACTACATTTTTCCAGTAACCTAGCTTTATAAAAGTAGATTTTCAGCATTAGTTGTATTCACGCCAGCTACTCTTAAAACAATAATGAATTTTACTACTGATAAACTGACATCATATGTCATTCATACATCCATTAATATTTTCTATATACTAAATATAAAATAAAGAGGTTTGTTGAAACATAGTCTTTTCAATATTTCTTTATTGATTTACTTTTTTACTTGCAAAGATACTACAAGTGTTCCTCAGTAAACAAGATTATTGAACATAATTGCTGACATGTTTTTAAGAAAAATACAAAGAACACTTGTTTAGGCAGAAATTTTGCATGCTGAAGTAAAAGATATATATATATATATTAAGGTGCATGTGTGTGCATGTATACATAGTAATACACTTTCATATGGTATCTAAATGGCATTTTTTTCCTTTCTAGGATGTCCTGGAAGAGAGAATTTCACTGGAAGTTCAACTGGAACAGCTTCGACCCTTCTCTCACTTATAAACCAATTGCCATTAACTGTGAAATAATTAACTCTGAAACAGAAAATTGGGTAAAAGGCCTAATTAAAATCCCATATGTTTCACTCAGTGCACTCTTAACATTTTCGTTGTGATTGTTATGTCCTCTGTCCACAGTTGTATTTAAGTAACTTTTTATAATTTTAATACAAAGAATGGAATAAGTGTTTCCTTGAATGTTCAATATATTGGCACTGCCAATCTTCCCATTTTCTTGGGAGGACATAATTTTTAAGTTGGAGCCAGATTTATACAACTTAAGTGGCCTATATCCCAAACTGGAACTGAATACTGAATGAATTTTGTATTTTTCACATCAAAAATCACGAATAAAAACATCCCAATAGCTACCTTTATCACAAAAGCACATATATTTATCATAAATACCTTTTACACATCTGTCTTACTGTGTAAATGGAAATTAGCCAGCTGTGGTCATCACCAATCCCCCAAATCAGACTTTGCAGCCTTGCCAATCATTAGTGATTTCAGAAGCCTATTCTTTTTGATTAACCCAATTATGTTCTAAGTTCTGCCTATGTCCTTTTATACTTTGCCATACCAAATTCTGTTGTCCTTGCCTGTTTAATCCATTGCATGTGTGACACAGCTTGACTATTGTTGAAATGTTTGCATTCATGATGTCATTTTGCAGTCTGCACACAAAGTGTTTCTCTTCTGTGAAAGGATCGGGTGTTGATCTCAGTCATGCACATTTCCTGAACACCACATATAGTTGCATGCTTTGCACATTATCCTTTACAAACTGACACACCCACCAAACATTACTGTAACACACTCTGTGGTCAAGAAATGTGTCAGTACCTCAACTCTTCCCCAGTCTGCCCCTTCCACTCCTCACCACCACCACCACCACCCGCCCCCGATTTGTGTTTCTTAAAAAGTTGGGCTCTTATTTCTGTTCATGTCTCCAAGCATTCTTCTTCTGACTTGAAGACAGGCTTCATTATTAACACAACGTTTCCTGAGTGTATCCTGCTATTCAGGTTGATGTACTGTATTAGGATTTGTTGTATATTGTATAATACACACCTTTTGATCTCATATGTAAATTTGCATTAATGCTGACTAACAGCAGATATTCTATTTAATGGCTTATTCTGGCTGTGGGATCATAGATGTTAAAATGCATGGAAGTATCTCAGCAGAATCAGAAATAGCAACTGTGTGATTTTTACAACAATAAAACAGCACAATATTTTAATTGGAGTTAATCCTTTTAATTTGGCTCAATAACAAGACAAGTGGACAGAAGACAAGGGTTTTTTTTTTACAATTTTTTACTGAATATAGAATCAGTTATTTTAAGGCTAGAAATGGGTGAGTTCATACATTATGATAAAATAAAAAAAACATTTAGCATTCCACACTTTATCTGCTTGCAAAATTTACCGTAATCTATGGTCGTACATGCAACTGATAGTCCTATATTATTCACTAATAAAAATTGGAAACAAACTTTTTATTAGAAAATATCAAACATTTAGGAAGAAGCAAAAAAAAGTCATAAAAACTATTCCCTGCACATGCAAAACAGACAATATATTCAAAATAAAGTATAATTAATCATGCAGTTAGATTAATAGTTCACTAGCCCCTTTCTACATGTTGTATGGCATAAATAGAAAAATGTAATTTATTGTTTTACTAAAGATTTTGTTTTGCATGAAAACCCAGAGCGGGATGGAGCTCATTAAATGGCTCATGTGAGGTGGTGTTGCTGGGGTGGGGGGTGATTAGTATATTAATTTATTATATGACTCTTACTAGCTTTATTGTTTTTATATGGGGTTTTATATTCTGTAGGCCGCCTTGAGTCTCCATGTGCAAATAGGGCGCAATATAAATTTTAAAAAACCAACATGTTTCTATGTATGAAAGGACCAGAAAGGTAGTTATATCCCTTATAGTCATTGAAACAAAACTACTTTATTATTACATTTTATTTTGAAGCTCATGAGCATTTGAATATAGTGTGTGCCTGCCTTATAGTATCATGCTCAATCCTTTCATTCTCATATTCAAATCCAAAGATTCCAGCTCATATACAATAGTTATACAATTGTACGAAGGAGCCTCTGGTGCAGTGGTTAGCGTGCAGTACTACAAGCTACTGCTGCAGCAGCTGCCTACAGTTCAAATCCCACCAGGCTCAAGGTTGACTCAGCCTTCCATCCTTCTGGGGTAGGTAAAATGAAGACCCAGATTGTTGAGGGCAATATGCTGACTCTGTAAACCACTTAGAGAGGGCTGTAAAGCTCTGTGAAGCGGTATATAAGTAAGTGCTATTGCTGTTTAGTTTGGAGATTTTCTCCAGCACTAATCAGTATAAGGGTTGCAGATGCATACCCAAGTATTTGTGCAAGATACAAATGAGAGCATGGTGATAGGGTTTGATTTCTACTGCAAATTCTACCACAAAATTTTCAGATATAAATTTTTGACTGGATACGTAAAGTCCAAAATCAGGCAAGCTGTATTTTATTGGTGATGAGGAAGAAGTTCTTTTAAAAACTTCTGATGTCTGTTAATCACGTTCATAACCTATGAGTCAACCATACACTCCTTGATAAATCATTGTATATACTTACTTCACACTAAATTTGCTTATGATAAGAAAGTTATTGCCGTTAATGGTCACATTCACCATGCCATTAAATCATGAGCAATATACATAGAAAGGAACTGCCTCATTCAGCAACCATTCACAGTGAAAAAACAGGAATGAAAACTTTGTGAGCAATCCTTATATTTACAACTCTTGTAGGTGTATAAAACAAAGGAAAACTAAAATAAGATCATAAACCCAGACATGGATTTCACATAGCAACTGCTTCACTTAATGACCAAGTTGTCAGTCCCAACTGCAGTCATTAAATGAGGATTACCTTATTCAGTTTACATCCTCACTGATACTACAGTGAATTGCTTTCTGTAAAGCAGAAAGCCATACAAACTTGTCTTCATCTGTAGAACAAATCCACTGCTGCTTGGGCCCTTGTAAAAGTAAAGCATTCTTGATATCTGAAAAGAGGCAAACAAAAATTATTATTTAGATTCCCTAAGAATATTTGTTAAATCAACATGTGCAGCAGTTAAAAATTGGAATGAATATACATTGCAAAAAAAAATCTTGTATTGTTTAGTGTTCATAAAGTGGCTATTGCAGAATGAGCTTGGCTGCCTAGCTAAGCCTAAATTTGTCATAAGAAGACATTACAGGTATAGAATACCTGAAAAATTCCAACCTGTGTGAATGTATTAAGAGATTTATATGGCTGCCTACTTTATCTGTCATAACAGCTTACAACAAAACATAGAAGCAATAAAACCAGCCACCAAAGATATACAACTTACCCCAAAACAATTCTCCCTGATACATAAATGATTGCAGTCAGTGAGCTTCCACTTTACTCAATGCTGAGGTAAAAAGTCAGCCTTTCAAGGCCTTTTGGAAGAGTAAAAGGCTCTGCTGAGGAGACCAACTTCTCAGGTCCTAATAAGTGATACCTTTTAAGGGACTGGAGCACTTACTATATCTGACCTGGCAGCACAGGGAGATATCCTCAGATATGTCCATGGAGATTCTCAGTCATTCAGATCATGGTTGTCCCAAAGGTGTTTTTCCAAGAGGCAACTGGACTTTCTGGTTTTTCTTTGAAGATGTTTCGTTTCTCATCCAAGAAGCTTCTTCCCTTTAAAGCCAGATGAACAGCATCTGATTCTAGCCAGAGCTGAAGAAGCTTCTTGGATAAGAAGCAAAACTTCTTCAAAGAAAAATTAGAAAGTCCAGTTGCCTCTTGAAAAAGCATCTTTGGGATATCCTTAGATATCTTCAGGTCAGATATAGTAAGATAATTCTTCATAGGAGTTAGCCCATGCCATCCATTCAACCATATATAGTTTCAACCTTTCTGTGTGGGTCTTTGTGAGTACAATATGTGGTTAGAGCTAGGCAAAAGATTTGTCTTATTTGGCTCTTTCCAAAAGATGGTCCAAATTAACCTATCACTGCTAAAAATTAAATGTAACACTAAAATGAAATCTAATTTCTTTTATTCCCATTTTCCAACATTTCCAATAAGAAATATTTAGAAATAAGTAGTGGTCCCAAATACTTTTCTTTTTAGGAACATTTTTAGGAACATATTTTCCCTGGGTTCCACTACTCCAAAATTAATAGCTGAAGAGTGAGGATTTTTAGTGTGCATGTGTGTGTGCGTGCACATGCATTCATGTATGACAGCTTTAACTCCTGGTGACTGAACTAATGCCCTCAGTATTCTTGGAAAGATTTTTGGTTTACCATTTCCTTCTGAGGGTGGAGAAGTTGTATTTGGCACAATGTCACCCAGCTAGTTTTGTGGCTAAGGCAGGACTAGAACTCAGTCTCCTGGTTGCTAGGCTGATACCTTAACCCAGGCCTGTTAAACTGGGGGCCTGCGGGCTGGATACGTCACGTGCAGGGCTCCACAAAGGCAAAAAATGTTATGTCACAATGCATCACATGATGCTATCGAGTTTGATGCCCAGGCATTAACTGCTGCACCAAACTGACTGTCTAAAGATGAGATCATAGGTGGGTGTACTTAATCATCTAAAGGAAATGACTTAGGAAACTAAAACACAGAAATGAACTCCCTTTATAATCAACTGGCTGAAGTCAGATGCTATTAATCTGGCTTTAAGGATGTGAATGATCAAGGACGGTACCAATTGTTTTCTCAGCTTCCATGTCCTGACTGCAGAAGGAGCTAATCTAATCTACAAATACTGGCTAAACAGGAAACACGCGCACCAAAGTGAAGGGGTTTTCCATCCAGGGTTTTGCTTTGGGTTTTGTGTGTGTGTGTGTGTGTGTGTGTGTGTGTGAACTGCTAATGGTTGGAGTCAAATAATGACTATTTGTTTGAGAGCAACAAAAAGGCCCAATATACAGGTAGTCCCTGACTTATAACGATTCATTCAGTTACTATTTAAAATTACAGGCACTGTAAAGAGTGTTACAATGACTCTTGGGAACATCTCAACATCCCCATGATAATATAATCAAAATTCAAGTGCTTGGCAATTGACATGTGTTTATGATGGTTGCAGCATCCTGGGGTCATGTGATTGTCATTTGCTATCTTCCCAGCCAGCTTCTGACAAGCAAAGTAAATGAGGACACCAGATTCACTTAATGACTGTGTGATTCATTTAACAACTGCAGTGATTTGCTTAAGCATGGCAAAAAAAAAAAAGGTTGTAAAATGGGGTGCAACTCGCAAGACAACTGATTTCCTTAGCAATGGAAATTCAGGTCTCTGTTGTGGTTGTAAATTGAGGATTATATGTATAGGATCCCAATATTAAGCCTTGGATATTCTTGTCAACTGAATCCCCTTCAACCTAATTTATATCTTTAGAAATGAGAAGCTCCCCTCCAAAGTGATAAAGACAGTTACAAGAAGCTTTAAAATGTTGTGACTCCCGGTCCAATAAAACTCTTCTAAGAGGTTTCCCAGTCATAATCTAATTTATGTAATCTAAATGGATTACATAAATTCCATATGATTTTTAAGTCACACTGTCAGGTTGAGATTAAGATAACTCGCTGCGGCCAACTCACCATGGCCAACTCGCTGCAGGACTACTTGCCATGATTGGGACATTTCAACGCTGTATTAAAAATTTAATTCACTTACTTTATTATTGATGACTACATTTCTGTCAAAAATCATTGTAACTCTTATATTTCTGGATTGACTTTATTATTATCGGCCACAGTTCCGTCAAAATTATTTTAACGTTTCTATTTGCTGAATTGGTCCCGGGATCAACTAAAACCAACGATTTTTACTTTGATTTGGAAAACATCCCAAAGCTGGCATAAACATCGATGCAATACCTTTCAAGATGATTTCCTAACGTTTCAGTCTTTTTTACACAACTCTCTACCTAAATCTTTCTCCCATTGTTTTTATCAGACAAGCCGATACAATAAATACCATTCTCTGAATTGGTGATAAACCGAATTTGTGAAATATTTGCTTCATGGAATTCCCCTCCCCTCTTTCTTTAGTTTGCCCTTGCTATTAGTTTGCCCTTGCTTAATTGTTGAAATACAAAGGTGCCCCCATTGAACATACTTGTTAAGACAACTTTGGCTTTAATAATCAGAAATGTTTGTTACTATTTATCTTGCTAAATTTTAAATGTTCAGATTAATTCTGATCTAGTTTGATACATTTAGTAAGGATGACTGATTATTGACTTTTAGTTTTTTGGCTCAATTCTGGCTGTACTTCTAAAATATAGTCGGGATGGATCTGTCTTTAGATGTATTTGATAAAAAATATTTTTGTTTCCACTGGAATATCAAATTACTTTGCCCACAGTGCAGTGGTGGGATTCAAATTTTTTTTACTACCGGTTCTGTGGGTGTGGCTTGGTGGGTGTGGCAGGGGAAGGATATTGTAAAATCTCCAGTCAGAGGTGATATTTGCAAGTTCTCCGAACTACTCAAAATTTCTGCTACCGATTCTTCAGAACTGGTCAGAACCTGCTGAATACCACCTCTGCCACAGTGTGCAGATTTATAAAAGGTTCGGGCTTCTGTCCTCGAGCCAAATTTTATTTTATTTACTATTTCTTCAATTTCTATAGCCACCCATCTCAATCAATGACTTAAATACCCGAAGGGAACCAGAATGAGGGTAATGGAAGCATTCATTACATTACTGAGCAGTTGTTTTTAAACTATCATTAGTTTGATTTGCATTGTTCTGCCATTTCTTTGTGTCTGGGTACACATGCTAGTTTGTATTCTAAATAGACTTCCAGAATTTCAAATAAAGCCTTAAGGGATTTGGATATGATTTAGCATCCATTACAATGTTATGCACACATTTTGATAAATCTACCACCCCAGCAGCAAATACTGAGACTTACAGCAGACTCACAGTGAAAATTCATGAATATTTTCTCTCTCTTGCATCAACAGTAACAGTAAGAAAAAGGTGAAGGACAGGAATTACTAAAAAGTACATACTAACAGTTCTTCCCATCTACTACAGGTAGTCCTCGACTTACAACCACAACTGAGCCCAACATTTCTGTTGCTAACTGAGACATTTCTGAAGTGAGTTTTGCCCCATTTTATGACCTTTCTTGCCACAATCTCTGCAGTTGAATCTCTGCAGTGAATCTCTGCAGTTGTTAAATGAGTAATGCCATTGTTAAGTGATTCTGGCTTCTCCACTGACTTTCCTTGTCAGAAGGTCACAGAAGGTGATCATATGACCAGGGGACATTGCAACCATCATAAATATGAGTCAGCTGTCAAGCGCCTGAATTTTGATCCCATGACCGTGAGAATGCTGCAATGGTCGTAAGTGTGAAATGCAGTCATAAGTCACTTTTTCCAAGGCTGTTGTAATTTTGAATGGTCACTAGACAAACTGTTTGGACCAGAATTTCTGTAGTTAAGCAAACTGGTGCTAAAGTGAGCCGTGCCTGATTTTACAACTCTTTTTGGCATGGTTGTTAAAGAAATCACTGCTGTTGTTAAGTGAATCACATGATTGTTAAGCAAATCTGGTGTCAACTAAAAAGATACTCCTTTGGTCTTTTTAGCTGCCAGAAAAAAAAAGAGTGGGGGAAAACAAGCCATTCTTGACATGCCTAGATAATCACCATGGCAGCTCAAAGTTGTTGGAGCATAAGAAGGTTATTGGAGAGCATGATGCATGACTCTTGGAGATGGATGTGTCCCATTGGAGAAATCACATCCAGAGGGTGGGGGAAAGGCCAGGGTCAAGGGGGAAATGTATGGTGTGATTTAGTATCGGCTGCCATGGCAACATGGCAATTTCTAATAAACCAATTTACTTTTTCCGAGATGCGGCTAGAGACTTTTGCTTTGAATGAGGGTGGATTTGTTGGAGCCTTGACATCTGGCTCCTTCCGTTGACTTGGCTTGTTGGAAGCTGGCTGGGAAGATTGAAGTTTACATGATTTCAGGATCGTGCAATAGTTGTACATACATGTCAATTGCCAACCAGCCCAATTTTGTGACTATGAGGATGTTGCAACGGGCATAAGTGCAAGGACTGGTTGTAGGTCATTTTTCTTCATTGCCTTTGTAACTTAACTTTAAATGGTTGCTAAACAACTGGTTGTAAATTGAGGAACTATCCCTACACAGCTGATGGAGGAGGCAAACCGGGGCATCTGATCAGGAGTGAAGCAGAAAGCCCCATCCCATTTGTCCCCAAAAGCTTTTCACAAGGATAGTTACAAAATACTTCTGCTCTTTTATATTGCATCCTCATGAACCTAACAGAATGTTACTGTTTTTATCCACTCAAAATATTGCCTTCCCTTTCCTAAAGGGCACAGTGTCCAGGCTCCGACTAACGAACCCAAGCAAATCAGAACTCTGGCCTCCTTCTCAAAGGTCTTCCTTATTGAGTACATCATATCGGCCCAGCTTCAAAGGAAAACCAATTCTAAATCTTTCCCCCGGTTACAATATAATTAAACTAGGAAATAATCCCACCCCCAAATGTCACAGGTCACGCAGGCAGTTGGGTTATCTGTTGCCAGTAGAGATGACCTTGGTTCTCATGAGAAAGCTCTCTGTTGTGTCTAGTAATGCATTCCAACTTCCTTCCCCCACTTCCCTTTCTTTCTGTGTGGCAACTGAGAAATAGAAAAATGGCTGCTGCCAGGTTCGGTTCGAAGTTGACATGCAGCTTCTGTAATCCCTGGATCCTGCCTTTCAAAGAATTGTGGGAATTAAGCATCTCCTGCCAGTTCCACTGTTCACTGACCAAAGAAACACCACCTTAAATCTCAATCAGCAGTATCTACAGGGGGGCAGGAGGGAGGATGTGATTAAAATCAAGTGTAAGATGGTCATCATGGAAGCATCACCAAAGTCTCATCCTTTTTGTAGCTGCTTAAACATCAAACATGCAACCAAGAGGTTGGAATTTCAATCATACTGCCACAAATTACCATCTTGTCCTCTTTATTACTACCAGTGCCCTCAAACTGATGCTCAAATTCCCAGTTTGTTTCTTACGTGAGCAAATACACTTCAGAAATTACACACCCAATGGAAAAGTGGGCTGGAGATCATTGGAACAGAGCTTCTCCTGCTACATAAAAAAAACCCCTGCAAGAATGTCAGGTTCCAGCATTTTCAGAATACAGGTAGTCCTCAACTTACAAACACAATTGAGCCCAAAATTTCTTTTGCTAAGTGAGACATTTGTTAACTGAGTTTTGCCTCATTTTATGACCTTTCTTGCAACAGCTGTTAAGAGAATCACTGCAGTTGTTAATTTAGTAACATGGTTGTTATATGAATCCAGCTTCAACATTGATTTTGCTTGTCAAAAGATCACAAAAGGGGATCACATGACTTTGGCATACTGCTATAGTCATAAATATCAACCAGTTGCCAAGCATCAGAATTTTGATTAGGTAAATGTGGGACTGCTACAAAGGTCATAATTGTGAAAATGGGTCATATGTCACGTTTTGCAATACTGTTGTAACTTTGAACAGTCACTGAACGAACTGTTGTAAGTCAAGGATTACGTCTGCTCCATTTCGCTGGCATCCTGCCATAAAATGCGGGGAGAGGGGAGATTGGGGAAGTAGGGGGAGAAATGACAGGGTGACAAGAACCAGAGGTTCAGAACAGAAAGGCCGATCAAGGACAGAGCCATGAGAACAGAATGCAAAACTCCAACAAAGAGGTGTCAAATTTGAAGGCCGTTGCCAAAACTTCTAATTCAAATATCATTGGACATTGACTGACTAGTCAAGGGGGGGGAGGTCCAGGGAAGATGGAAAACACAGGCGTTGCGCAGGAATATGCAGATCCAGCTTTGCTTATGCTGTAACCGCTTGACTTTGGTAAAAGTAAACCTTTCATTTCAAAATGGAGTCGAGGGTCTTTCTTTACTAAATGCTCAAGTCACTACTTTCAAAAGCAGTGTTGTATGTTATAAAGGCTCTTGCTAAAGAAGAAAGCCAGTATGGTTCAGTGGTTAAAGTATCAGACTAGAAACTGAAAGAGTGGGTGTTTTAATTCCTCCTTAGGCATAAAGCCAGCTGGACAACCCTTGGCCAACCTCTCTTTCTCAGCTCTAAAAGGAAGGCAAGGGCAAAGCGGATCTGGAAAACTTGTCAATAATATTGCAGGAAGTTCCCAGACATCAGACCCCACCACAGGGATCACATTGTTTGATTCTGAGAATGCCTCTGAGATTTTGTAACAATACTCCCTGTTTTAATTAAAATATATATACATATATATTAAACACTTCTATTACTGCATTCAACTTTTTTTTTACTATTTTAGAGTAATGAAAAGCCTACATTTAGAATCTGGAATGTCTTCAATCTGGAGCTGATGGAGCATGATTGTAGCCAAAAATTGGTACGTGACCTTGGGGGTTCGTTCAAAGGGCTTGTAGGAGATGTTGCGTTGTGAAATAACAAGGATGTCATTGAACAGGAAAACCCTAAGATCGTGGGTATGCTCATACAACCTGGAAAAATGGGAAGATTAGTTTCGTTATCCATATTAATATTATTTATAAATAATTTAACAACCACAGGGAGAACATTCAAATGCAGTAAACATGTTTTAAAAATGCATTATCATGAATGTTTATAAAAATGAACTAAAAGGGGGGGGGGCAGGAGAAATCTACACCTTGAAAGTATAAAACAATACAAAACACAAGGTCTTTTGATTAACTACAATAATATACAGTAATTAACAAGTTTCATCCATTCATACTCATGAAATATTTTCCTAATGCTCAAATGCTCAAACTCAAAGCTCAGCAAGGACCTCATTAAAAAGGCTGATTTGCTGTACATTTTTGGAGTGACAAATATTAGTGGAACAATTGTCCGTATTGTTTTACCCAGTGATATAATCATATTGTTAATTGTCACCCTATATTTAATTTTTTAAATCTTTTTATTTATAAATTCATAAACCATTTCAGTCAAGATTATTCTAAGCCAGGACTGTCAAACCCATGGCATCACGTGCTGGCCACGCCTGGTTTAAGCAAAGGGGATAAAAGTTGCGATACGTCCTGGAGGACAGGAGAATGGAATCTAACTTTGCCTTGGGGACCAAGCTACTCCAGAATAGGGGAATCCCTGAAGAGAATGCCTACTTTCAGGATCCTTTGAGGATAGGAACTTTCTGCCATTGGTGTAGGCACCCTTGGATTGAGTGGGCAGAATCTCTAGGGATAAGCAGTCTTAAAACTACCCAGAGATATACTGTAGAATTTTACAGCTGTGTTTATATTCTTGTGCTTATGTTTATATTTGTATTTTTCTTTAAAATAAAAAAAAAAAGATTCATCGCACTCTAAAAAAGAAAGCATGTAACATGACACATTTGCCCAATAAATCATTCAATACATTTAGCACTTATTACCTTTATGGTCTCTGTTTAGAAAGAAGATAACTTTTTTAAAAAGGAGCATTTATATAATACTAGCCCTCATTTTGTTTATATTATCCTTAATATTTTTACTAATATATTTACCTGAATGGCAAATTTGTTCTCTGAGAACAATTTAGCTGGGCCACATCTTGCACCATGATTAGATATCTATTGGCTTTCAGTAATTGCTGTGAATGAGAATTTTAAAAATTATGCATACTGCTACCAAATTGTTTCATTATTTTTACCTACTTTGTAAATGTTATAAATCACAGACTTCTAAAATGTTTAAATATCAGAAGTACTTTTTGCTGTATTGATCAACAAACATTATTTGTTTACTCTATTTTTTTTCAATCTGTATGGTCACCAATTTCAACATCATGATTGTAGGTATCAAGCAACAATTAAAACATAATAACACTCTAATGAACATATAAATGGCTGATTATTGATGGTTACAGTGCTGGATCCAACATTTGATCCATGGACAATACAATCAATACATCAATCCAACCATCCATGGGTTGTGTCATATATTCCAACTTCAAGGTCCAGTGGCACTGGTGTCTGGAGATAATTAGGGTCTGAAATAGGGAAAAACAAACTCAAACTAACAAAAATTAAACCATGACAATACATAGTTTCTTGTGTTTATAAACATCAGGGTAGTTAACACTGAACCTAATGGTTCTTGCTCTGACCACAATCTCCCAAAATAGGCTAATCCTTGAATTGGCGAAGGAACTTTTGTGTTGAAAACTCCAATTAAATCAGCATGTAAACTAGGCTGTGGCCAGGGGATCTATTCCTTAATTTTGGCTGGCACAACAGTTGAAGTTTACCTACCACAATGAACTGTTAACAGTAACTCAAACCCAGGACACTTTGCAGCTGGGCTATCACGATGAACTCAACATGGAGCTGTCTTTGAAGATGAGTCAAATACTATAGAAACCTTATTCCTAGTTACTATAGAACAGGCCTGTCAAACTTCCAGCCTGCGGATCGGATGTATCACGCACTGGCCATGCCCACCCCCAGTTTAGCAAAAGCGGGGAAAAGTTCCGATATGTTACGTGATGCCACTGTGACAATGTGAATTTGACACTCCTGCTATAGAATAACACAGTTCTTTGCCTGAATGGGATTTTAGCATAGTCAAATCTAGTCAGTCAGCCGCTGTTTTACTTGCTTTAACTTTTATTTTCATTATTTTATTATACACACTGACCTGTAACCGACACATTCCTATATTGCATCTTTTAATATTTTCCCAGTCAACTTCCCCATTCATAAAAGGCATTTACTTTTCTTTGTCATTCTACCAAAACATATTTCTTTGAGTAAATCTATTGGTCTTAGTCATTTAACATTGAACACATGAAACTTATCCTATGGAAATATCTTCTGACATTGTCACAAATAAATGCCATGCACTTGTTGGGCATTTTGGTTCACATAAACAAAGCTGATTACTTACAGGACCTCCTTGGATGCACTGTTGCACTCTCAGTAGTTGATCATTTCTGCCCACATTCAGTTTCAACTAGAAAATTTAATATTTGGGAAGAAAATTACTGCAAGGAACTCTTTAGAGGGTTGTGCTACATAACGAAGAAGTTATTCTTTTTTAAAAAAAACATCTGTACATTAATTTTTGCTAAAAAATGAAGTCATTTTTTTAAAAGTGAAGTCAGATTTAGTACAGTAAATCAGTCGTGTATGTTTGGATTAAATTTTGAGAACCTATTTTATAGTCCCTCAAAGCATTACCTGGATCAGCTCAAATTACTGTCTGCTAGGAAAATGTAGTTTCCTTCATTTCAATATTCATATAAAGAGTCACCTGTCTGAAAATATTTGCATTAATTTTAACACCTAAGTAAACTTTTATGGGAGCAGATTGCCTTCAAAGAAATTCTGGTGATTTATGTCTTACATAGTAGACTCCCCAAGTAAACATTAACAGTTGTATGATGAAAGTGTACCAGATGAACAACTGAGCATTTACATATTTGTTGCATTTATCACACAATCATAAATATATTATACAAATATACAAATCTAAAAGAAACTGGACAAGCAAACCAAGAAAACTGTCAATGATGCAGGTAACATAGGACAGCTAAGAAAAGAACAGCATATGCAAAGTTGAACCCATCCTCTCTTGTTTTAATAGATGCCCCCCAAATTAGTCAAATCAAACATAACTGCTATATAACTGTATTGCTACTTGAAACCACAACATACAACTTAGGACTCACAAAAAAATTTGGAAATGGCATAAATAGGAATAAACATACAATTAATTTACCCTTGCAGTGCCTTCATAAAATCTAAGGCTTAACAATTGAGAAAGATGAAATTATGACTTTACTTCATGACAGAACACCCTACACACCTATGAATCCAAAATCAGCCATTCAAGGCTTACTATATAAAGTACCAAACCTTGCCAAGTATATAAACATTTTAATAAATGTAATCATGAAACTTAAAGACTTTTGACTCTGGACTGACTTTCATTCTAATGGACAGAACAAACTAATCTGAGGAACCCTTATAGCAAAAGCAGTGATGCAACATCTGGAAGCAATTGCCCTCCCACACACACAATCCAAAATGTAAATTCAGTTGAGTGTATAAAACATTTGTCATAATTTTTTAAAAGTCACTTAGAAAACACACACAATACAATCAATAACATATTTAACAGGATCAAATTCAGAAGAGAAAAATATATTCTCATCAGCAGAGGAAATAATGGCATGCATATTAAAAAAAAAACCAAAGATTTGCATCATCAAGTGATGATCCAAATTTAAATAAGAAAAACTGTATAAAACAGAACTTCTCGCACTAGCAAATTACTTCAACTGCTAGACTTTAGAGTGGCCCGCATACCATTGGAATCTCTCCAATCCTAGGCATAACCCTAAATCCAACAATTTAAGATAGGGCAGAATTTATTTACAACACAAAAATGGAAAGATTGTGAAAGACGCTATGTAGGACAAACACCAGAACACCAGATAGTAGTCAGAAGACATAATGAACAGGCTACAATTTTATATTGCACAGATCAATTTAACCACATGTTTAAGTGAGAAAGTAAAAAAAAATTGTGTCAATTCAAATCCAGCTATACAAGAATATTCCCCAAGACCTAGCATTGTGATAGATCAGCCATTAACACACACACACACAGAGAGAGAGAGAGAGAGAGAGGGAGGGAGGGAGAGAGGGGGGAGGGAGAGAGAGGGGGAGAGAAAGAGAGAGAGAGATAAACCTGGCCTACAATCTATTTAATGGAATGGAAAATATTCTGGAGAATAACCACGTTGATACTACTAATTCTCCCTGAGATAGGAATTCTGCTGGTTATAGTAGCATTGCTTGAAAAAAAAAATCTCTAGTTACTGTCTGAGTATGAGCACAACTGGAAGAATCTACAAAGATGTAAAACTGAACAGCTGTGATTGGAATTTCTCAATGTACTGTACTACTTTGGCCTCCTATTAGTCACAAAGGAAATATCACAGAGTTATTTTGGGCTTGGGTTTTTCCTTTTGTAACTAACAGCAGCTCCAGAATATGACTGAAACCATGAATCCCATTGCATTAAAAGAGGAGGAGGAGGAGGAGGAGGAGGCACCCCTATTTCACAATCCCATTTAGGATAATTAAACTAGAGGATATTCCATGTAGTGTGCAATAAACCCCATTCATCTAAAAAGGTGCAAAATAATCATAATGCTAAAGCAAATGTAGAAGACAGACCTGGTCTATGTAATCGTTGAGTTGTTTCATTTGCTTAATTGCAGTGGCCAAGTCTTCGTGGTCAGCGTGTTCCTGAGGAGTGTGAAGTCTAAGAGCACAGAGGAGAGCGATGTATTCTTTGACCCTCTTAGAAGGGCAGAGCAGAAGTTCTTGTAAGCTACACAGGAAACGCATACATTTAATGTTTTAATTAGAAAAATGACAGATAAGCACAGTCAAAATTAATTGTTAAGAGAAAATTTTAAAGCTAAGTCAACTAACTCAGCCATTTTTCTATAAGCGACTTAACTGCTTTAAAAATCTTGTCTATAAAACTGGATGCTGTACAGATTGTTTTTATCTGCATGCTGGATAGATTACTCTATTTTACTTTACAATGAAGATTTCTCTAATGTCAGTACCGCCATCATCACAATTCTCAAATACCTCAGCACCAGATATGCAGATTGTTTAGCCAATAGGCCAAATTATCATGTCAGCTGCCTACCTATCATTTGCCTTCCTTCCTGGGTGCGATACACTGCCAAAATATATTGGACAATGTATCCAACGGAAGAAGGAGGAAGAAGCTAGTGTTTGTTCATTCAACTAAGAGCCAAAATCAGGAGTTAAAATATTTTTTTCAGGCCAGAATATGAAATGGAAAGAAATTAGTACCGCTTCTGCTCCTACCCTCTATGCAACCATCAAATTGTTCCTTTCCTCATATATGGAAGCAGATATACAAATTTGCCAAGGAGAAAAGAGTAGTGTGCATTTTTTAGATGAAAAAAGTATGTACTGTATGAATGTATCCTGTGAAGAAAACATGGCTGAAGGGCTGGAAATCCTCTAGCCACTGCTAGAGCTACCTGGACCTTCTTTGCAAATTATTCCAATTCAGTCGAAGGATTGTGGCTGAGAGAACCGGACTAAGAAAGTTCTGGGTCTTTGGGTTTCTAGAACAACTTTATACATTAATTCAGTCGTGGTAGCATGTTTGGAATCATGCTCCTGAAGCAATTTTCTGAAAAGCATTATTTGGTAGAGCCTAACTTTGCTTTTTTCCTTATTTATTAGGAATCCCTCTTTAAGTCAGAATCCAACCTCACGGAAGATATATTTAAATTTTTAATAGAAAAGACACATGGCAATTGTTTTGCTTCCAGGCTGTGACAATCCTTATGTGGGTTACCTTCTCATGGTGGTAACAACAGTCCGATCATGTCTCTTCAAGAAAGCACGGAATACTGGAATAGTTTCTCGGCACTATGGAAACAAGAGGTTTGGATTATCACGATGACCAGATTATGTATAAAACAGGACAACTGTCTAATCTGGTCCAATCAAAGAGTTTTCAACAAGGAAAACATTGTAATTACCAGTTTCTAAAGGTGCTGCATTAGAATCCTGAGCTATCTCTAAACTGAGCTCTCACAAATTGCAACATCATTCAATCATGTGTTTAGAATATAACCTGTAGAATAATGGGAGATTGAAGAGACGGGAGCCAGATCTTGAAGTAACAATACCTCTTTATTTTAACAAGAACAGAACAACCCAGCAAAGGCCTGTCTGACAGCTCCCTCTTTTATAGGGAGCTGTCAGAGGGCTTAGCCAATCATAGGTCTGCTGGACCTGAATGAAGCCTATGCTTCACTTGTAATATTTAACATTACCCATCAAAGAAAGTGGATTACGCTAAATCTCAAGGATGTGGTGATGGGGAAAAAAACAAGGGCTCATATGGAGGCAAGTCATCTGATGTATAAGTATGGATTAAATTCATAGTTTGGTTTCTCTTTTTTTTAATTTCTGAGGCCTTCACAGATAGCTCTCAGAATAAAAATGAGAAATATTGAAGAATTTGCTAATGGATACCAGGAAGAAATACATTTCTAGTCATTCATACCTAATAACTTCAAAAAGCTTTGAACTGTAGATAACAGAATAAAAGGCTATAAGAATATTTTAATACATGATTATTACTAGTTAAAAGTTTCAAGCAATACATTCATGAATCTAACTAAGCTTGGGAAGAATGACAAGCCCCCTCTTCTTTGATTCTCTCTGGAGACACTATCCATCTCTCCAGATACAGCGCTGAAACCTGAAGCTGTGGGGAACTAGATGCAAACGTCTTGTTTCCCTTAGACTTCACTATTATTTTCCAGGAACATATGGGCAGCCTTCAGCTTCTGTAACACAGATATCTTTTCACAATTGCCCCATTCTGTTAGCACTCTGTCCCAGCATAGCTCTTCATTTCCTTGGCCAGGCAGTTCATAAAATGCTTTCTGTCTAAAGCAGGGGTGTCAAACTCACACCGTCATGCCATCGTCACATGATGTATCTGGACTTTTCCCCCCTTTGCTAAAGTAGGAGTGGGTGTGGCCAGCACATAATGCATCCGGCCCATGGGCTGTGAGTTTGACACCCCTAATCTAAAGGATATCATGGTATAATGAATATTAATTAGAAGTCTGGTGTATCTATTCAGGTCAAGATGGTTTCATTAAAGAAAGATTTCTTTCAACAATCAGCAAGAGAAGGTAACATCAAACGTGTTAAAAATTGCTGAAGACAGCTGCAGCAGAAAATGTATTCAGACTATTGCCTGAATGAAGATGCCAACACATTTTGCCTTCTTTGTTTTCCTTTTAGAGTTTTCTAAAATGATGTGCATCCCTATATTTTTGGATGAGGATTACACAATTCTCCACCATTCTGCACCTAAATGTGTTGGATTATAAAGCCCATCATTCTCAATCAACATAATGATGAGAACTGAGATTTAACATTTTCTAAGTTGGCTTGAGAAGTTTAGTAATTCTTTGGGTAGGCAGATCAGATAAGAAAAAAAAATCCACTGCCATAAGCCATGGTTTCCATGTAAATTTGTGCCAACCTGAAACTAGGTATTAAACTGCAATTTGTGCCCCAATCTGTGGTTGTGTATGATTATGATTGGAACACTTTTTATTTAATGAAAATAGATACCATGAACTTACAGAAGTGCTCAAACTATCCAGTTCACAGGCCATCCAGTTCACAGGCCATCCAGTTCACAGGCC